TTTTTGGGTGCAATTTTACAAAGAAGCTATGCAAATGTATTTTATGCAAAATATTTTATTTAAGTTATTACAATATGTACAATTTTTTTCTCGTTATAAATAATTCTAACGAAACTATATATATTTTATTAATATAATTTTCTTATTAAATAATGGATTTCAAATATTTAAACTAATATTTTTTTATTCATAGTTTATTATAAAATATATACATATTATAAAAACTGTATTATAAAATAATTATAATGTATTTATTTCTAATACTATTATTAGTGATTAAAAATTATGATTACAATTATATATTTATTATGTATTATAATTATATATAACATTGATGCGTTCGGAAATCTGTAATAATGACAGCTGTCAAAACTTGCCATAAAATTTTAGGTTCAATGGTTAATTTTTGGCGTTTCCTTCTTTTGACAAAGCGAAGCCAACGTGATTCCGTCTTTTTCCGCTTTACATTCTGAAGATGGCGGTTGGTAAAAATAAGGGTCTCTCCAAAGGAGGCAAAAAAGGTGGCAAGAAGAAGGTAATTGATCCTTTTTCACGTAAAGATTGGTACGATGTGAAAGCACCAAACATGTTTACCACTCGCCAAATTGGCAAAACTTTGGTAAACCGTACTCAGGGCCAAAGAATCGCTTCCGACTACTTGAAGGGACGTGTTTTCGAAGTATCGTTGGCTGACTTGAAAAAAGACAGTGATCCAGAACGTTCTTTCCTTAAGTTCCGTTTGATTGCTGAGGATGTACAAGATCGCAATGTCTTGTGTAATTTCCATGGTATGGATTTAACAACAGACAAGTACAGGTGAGGCTCACAGTCTGGACATCAAATGTTGAAAAAAGTGAAAATACAATTTGAAATGAGAAATATAAATGTGAGAATAAAGTGCAATATGGTTTAATGTGAAATTTAGTTTTGAATATAGTTTAAATACTCAAATGTAGTTAAAAAATTAATAAGAAATGATTTATTAAATTCCAGATTGAATATAATATTTCAGTAAAGTTTTAGGTTAGGAAATTGTTTGTATTTGCAAACAATTGCACTGTGAAAGCGTATAATATAATATAAAAATGTAAATTTGTACCTTAATTACTTAAAAAAAGTTGACAATAATATCGTTTTTAACTTTTGTAAGCATTTTTAAAACTAAAGCGGATAAAAAAAATTTTTAAACGAACACGTGTAAAACAATCACTTCTATTAAATGGAATTTTTAATGTTTAATTTATATGTAGTGGAATAATCCGGAGACATTAAGTTCAGACTTAACATAGTTCATAAAATGTTTAGTCCCTACGAACCTCCAAAATAAATTTGTTATACTGAAAAAAACACTGCACATTTTAGTGGGCATTGTGAGCATGTATGCATACAAATAAAAAAATTTCTTGTTATTTATCATTAAAATATTATAAAAGTGTTCAATTAATATATATCTGTTCACTTTCAGGTCAATGGTCAAGAAATGGCAAACATTGATTGAAGCCGTTGTTGAAGCTAAGACCACTGATGGCTATTTGTTGCGAGTATTCTGCATTGGTTTCACAGCTAAGGATCAACAATCTCAACGCAAAACATGCTATGCACAACAATCCCAAGTACGTAAAATCCGTGGAAAGATGACTGAAATCATCACTAATGAAGTTACCGGTGTTGACTTACACAAATTGGTACAAAACTTAACATTAGACTCAATTGCCAAGGATATTGAAAAGAAATGTCAACGCATTTATCCTTTACATGATGTATACATTCGCAAAGTTAAAGTATTGAAGAAGCCACGTTTTGAATTATCTAAACTTTTGGAAATGCATGGTGATGGTGGTGGCAAGGGTACTGAAGCTGTTGTATCAGCTGAAGGTACTGTTATTGATAGGCCCGAAGGTTATGAACCACCAGTACAACAGTCTGTTTAAGTAGTTTGGTGTCAACAAATTAAGATACTATCATTTGTTTAAATGTAGAAAAGAGAATTCATTTTAATACACTATACTACAAAACTAGAAAATATGTTTCGTATTTATCACTAAATCTTTGTGTTTTTAATTAGAATTGGAAATGCATATTGTGCAATCAAAGTTATGGGAAGGCGTTTCTTTTTCTTACATTTATTTGCAGATTCTTTTTAGAGGGTGTTTGCCGCCTGCCTGACTGCTTTTTAAAAGGTAAATATATTTAATATTGTGTAAATTTTTTTTTTTATCACTTATTTAAATGATGTTATAGTATTTTTCGTCGCTGATTATATATATTGATGTTATTTTTCACACTGATTATTTCAAAATCTTTTTATTTAAATTTCAAATCATTGCTTTACTAAAATGGAGTTTTTTTATATTGCAGGTGCATTATTAATCTTTTGAACTATATGGAAAAGCATAACAAATTACAATATAATTGTGGGTTCCAAGAACGTCCCGGAGCTACTTGACGACCAAGTGCCTTTCAACACCTCCTATAGGAACTTCACAAGAAGGTCCCAGCGGGTTACAAAAACAACAACATTATAATTGTAAGATGTAAGTTTAAATAAAAAAAAATGTATTATTTGCTGCTTAAATGATGTTAAGATTATTTATTTGCTACTACTGAATAGTTTTTGCTGAAAATACAAACTGATTTTTAAAACTTTAGAAATGTATGAAATCGTTAAAATTTTAAGCAGATGACTAATTCTTTTTTTTTTTTTTTTCAGATTGCAAATCAAATGGAAAACCTAAACCATGCGTATGCCATCAGCTTAAATTTCATTGTTATGCGAGGTAATAAAATGTTTTAATAATTATACAAGTAATTAAAAAAATGTTTACATAAATTAAAACTGTTGTTAAATAATTTTTTAATATAATAAATTTTTTGCTTTATGTGAATTAAATGTAATGAAATATTGTAAACATTTCGGAAAGTTTTTTTTTGTATAAGAAAAAAAATTTTATATTCATATTTTAGGCTAATTTGACTATTTGATTGTAAGACAAGTAAAAACAATAATATTTTTTTAATTTTATTATTATTGTCTTATTTCATAGTCCCACAAAGTTCCGTTGGTATTTTCTGACAACTTCAGGGGTGGATAAATTATTATTTTTATAATTACAACAATTATAAAAAGAAATTATTAATGTTATTAAACTATTGAATAATATATATAGAATATTGTATTAATATATTTAAAGAAATTGGAAAAGTGTGATAATATGATATAAAACATTTAAACATTAAATTCAAAAAAAATTTGAATTATTTTTATTTGTCATTCAACTTAAGACCAGTTTAGCTTCAAATACGAATATAAAATACTTTTTCATTTAATATTTTCATAACAAGAGAAAAAGTTTCTATTTTCATTTTATTATACATGATGTTATTTTTTTATTCGATTCATTTGCTACTCTGTAGAAATAATGATGACAAATATTAACTGATAATAAATTGAAATTTCAATGTATATTTTGCACATAACATAACAAAAATTACAATAAAATTTTCTTAATATTTGCAGATTGTTTATTGTCGGAAAACATGTAATAAAACTGGTAAGTTTCATTGTTTTTATTAAAAACAAAATAGTTAATTTCATATCATGCATAAAAAGTTTATTGATTTTGTAAATTTTTTACAAATCATATATATTAGTCATATCCAAAACATTTTTTTGGATATGATTGCATTTTTATTTCTACATATTGTCTTGAAGAGACTCGGTTTTGTTGAACATTAAAAAAATATTTCTGTTTAATTTGTATCAATTAAAATAATTTTAAATAATATATCAGAAAATGTTTTAAAATATTTTTCATTAGTTAATCAGGTATTTTTCCTAATTATGCACATTTTTGTAAAATAACAAAAATAAATCTCTCTTTCTTTCTCTTTCTTTCTCTTTCTTTCTCTTTCTTTCTCTTTCTTTCTCTTTCTTTCTCTTTCTTTCTCTTTCTTTCTCTTTCTTTCTCTTTCTTTCTCTTTCTCTTCTAAAGACGTTTTGTTTAAAAAAACTTAGAAAAATTTATATGTATTTAAAAGTTAATATTTGAATAAAAATTTATTATATAATAAAAGATTTATGGCATGATATGAAATTGTTGAAAAAATTAAAAGCATAATTTTCGTGATGAATAATTTTGGATGAACATATTGAATATATAATGTAATATTTTCTTTGATAGTAGAACTGATAATTCCTACTTCCTTTTATTTCTTTTATTTTTACATAAATAAATCTAATAATTGTTTTAATTTTGCAGAATATTTGCTGATGACTTGCTGGAGAAAATCAGAATCGTTGGTTAAACTAATATGTGATAAAATATAATAATGATATAATGGGATTGCAAGTTCTAAAAAAAATCATCAGTTGTAATTAGGTATGTATATAATAAATTAAATAATCTTTTAAAGTATATATTTAAAGTATATATTAACTTTTATGATGACAACTTACCCAGCTCGCTTTGATAAAACTATGAAGAGAATTTGTTCTAATTCCAACGCTTATATATTCTGATTCTATTATGATTATTATATTATAAACATTAATATATTATTATCTAACTAAATTAATTAATCTTTTCAGGTTATATATATGCACCAGAACATATCTGTTATATAATTAAATATTTATGGATGAGGTACGTAGATTTAATTTTAAATTGATATAATCAGCTATTAAGTATATATGATGACAACTTACCCAGCTCGCTTCGATGCTACTATGAAGAGAATTTGTTCTATACCAACGCTAAATACTTGCTGAATATACTATTAAATAATGTTAATAATTTATTTGTTAACTATTATATGATTAACGTATTTAATTTATTTATTACAGAAAGGATCGATACCGCGGCAATATATATACATTACAAACGGAT